AATATAGTCATTTTTATTGTACTATCCAGTGGGCACGTGTCGTCCAGGAAACATCCGTCGGACATCCCCGGACGAAACATACTCACTGAGTAAAAATAAATCATAAATTTACTTTCGAAGTTTTTTGGTTTGTAATATCATTGAAAATATGATTAAAGTTCATTTCTCTTACGATGTCCCTATCAATACTCATAATGTTAGTTTTTGAGTGAGCCATTGAGGTAAGCAGCCTCAATGTACGCAGCCTCAATGTACACAGCCTTAATGCACGCAGCCTTAATGTACGCAGCCTATTTTTGATCAAATCAATTTAGAAAAAATTTTTTTCACCGAGAAGTTCCGCGAAGAATCATAAACACAACTTAAATACGGAGCGCAATTTTAACATTAAAGAGCTCATTTTTGTTTCTTTCGCCGTTTAATAACATTTACAATTTAAAAGTGTGTAAATAAAAACTATTAATATATGCGCATACTTTACAGTTAATTTAATGATTAATCTCAAACTAAAATATATAATAGTGAAAAAACGAACGAATTCAAAAAACAAGCTAAAACCAAATGTTATCTTCATAGCTGAAATGTGGTTCAATGAAACATCTGACATCCCAATTAATGAATACCATTTGCACAGAAAAAACAGGAAGCCAAGGAGGGGGTGTGATATTAAATCTACTATTTCCCTATATTAACTAGTATAAAAAAACTAAACGACTCGAAAAGTTATAGAAGGTATTATACACAAAAAAAATCATTAAAAACTGTCTTAGCACTAACCTAACATCCAAACAACAGCACGGATTTCTTCATAGTAAAGGATGCACATCGAACTTACTTGAATCTCGGGATATAAAAACAGAAGCAATGCATCAAGACAATGTCACTGAAATTATCTATTCTGACTTTTCGAAAGTCTTTGATAAAGCTTCACACGTCAGAATTTTACACAAACTTAAAGCCTATGGTATAAATGGCTTGGTCTTCAATTGAATAGCAAACTGGCTAACGAATCGTTATCAACAAGTTGTTATTGACAAGCATAAATTTAAATGGAATTAACGATAAAAATGTAACAAGCCGGGTACCCCAGGGCTCTATGCTTGGTCCACTTCTTTGTATCTTATATATAAACGATCTGCCGGACTATATTACTCATTACATAAAGATTTATGCCGATAATTGCAAAATATTCTCTTTTGTTCTCCTCAAAACATCTAAATTTTGAAGAGAACAAAAGAACCTTGCAAGTTGAAATAGATAACTTAGTAAAATGGTCGCATAAATAAAACATGCCTCTCAATTTCGATATGTGTAAACTTATGCACGTCGGGCGTGGTAACTCCAAATTTCTTCAAAATTATTTGATGCTTGACTTGAGTGAAAATAGAACTCAACTGGACGTCACTAAACACAAACATGATCTGGGAGTACTTCTATCAGACGATCTTAAAGTAAGCGATCAAGTTGAATTAGTAGCAGCAAGAGCTAACAGTAAACTTGGTAGACTAAAGAAAATATTTAAAAGCCGTGGTATTTTTTGTGGAAAGTACTCTACAAAATGTATATAAGACCCCAGTTACAACTTTCTATACTGACTTGATCACCACACAAGAAAAAAGAAATTGCCATTCTAGAGCAATTACAGCAAAAAGCCACACATAAAATCACGGAAATAAAGCCACACATAAAATCACGGAAATAAAGCCACACATAAAATCACGGAAATAAAGCCACACATAAAATCACGGAAATAAAGTAAATCAGTTGCAACTGTTATATATTTTAGTTTTTCTGTTATAATTGTTATATATTTTTATTTTAACTTTTCCTTAACAACCACCAACTAGCTGTTGGTTATTAAGTAGAAGTTATAAAACAACATTCATGTAAAAAGTAAAATTCAACTTTAGAAAAAAAAAATTAAAAATAAAAGAGCACTTTATTTACAAAAACTGAAATTTATTTGCATACCCTTAAATCAATTTGTATTATTAGTTCCATCTTTGTTTTATAAATGAATATTAAAAATTGGTGTATGTTGATTCTATATACATATAATGCACCAAGCGTACGTAGAGTGGCTCGAATGGCACAGTTCTATCAGCTTCATATAATATTCTGCTCGCCTGTTTTTGTTTACTGTACAATTTTTTTAACTTTGCGTGATTTTTGAATTTGCCCATGCATTATTACAATAAATCAAACAACAATAAATAAATGAAAAAATATTTTTCAAAGATTTATTGTTTATGGATGGCATATTCTTCATAACGCTAACATATTGTTTATATCCACGCACCAACTTCAGGAAATAATGCTAACATACTGTTAATATCCACACTCCACACGCTAACATATTTATTTAAAACTTTATTTTCAGTTGATTGTTTACAGTAGTTTTATAATCAACAAAAACTAATTAAAATCAACACACTAAACTATATAAGGCAATACAAACAAACATACATATCGTGAATAAAAAATAAACAAAATAAAATAAAATAAAAATAGCTTACATAGTAAATAATATAAATGTCAATAAATACAACAAGTTGGTTATTTTCGACGTAAAAAATAAAAAATAAAAAAAGTTATTTTTGACAGATTTTACAAAAACAAGATTTTCCGTGTCATTTTAAAATACTTTTTTTAAACATCTTTAGATAATTTATTGACATTATTGACATTGTCTAGGGAATTCCATAGCGAGGTTGCTTTATATAAGGTTTTTTTTATGAACTTATGTTTAGAAACTATGGGTGGGAGTACTAATTTTTTACTACATCGAAGACTTAACGGCAGGGATTTTATGATAAAAAGATCTAACATAAAAACTGGATTCAAACCATTTATAGATTTAAAAACTTCAGTTAACAAAAACCTTAAGTTTTTAAGGTGGATACTTGAGATATTTTATAAAATTTGAATTTCTTTTAATGGGAGATCAAACCTTTTATAGACAATGCGAAATCCTTTTTGATGAATTTTATTAATTAGGTTATTATTATACTTTGAAAAAAACATCTAAATCAAAGGGCATTAGGAAAAATTTGACAGTATAAAAGCATTGAATAAAACAGTAGCTTGTTTTACTGATAAGAAGCTCCTTATTCGTGAAAGAGCAAAGCATTTACTATTTTTATTTATATTTACGCTTTTCCACACAGACTTTTGATATGATCATCAAATTTCAAATCCTTATCAATTGTAACCCCGAGAAGTTTAACCTTAGAGGAAACCATGATTTTTACATTTCCAACCATTAAAAATTGATCTTTACAACTTTTTAAGCCAGATAAAAAAATTGAAATTTTTCCGGATTTGCAACCATTTAATTCAAAGAAAACCATGAAATCGCGTTTGATATTTCTATTTGAAGACGAGCAATAACACTCTCTAGGTTGTTGTCACAAACAGAAAAAGTGTTGCCATTAGCATAGTTGCAGATTTCAAAGTCTTTTATAAATAAGAAAAAATCGTTGATAAAAATATTAAAGAAATTTGGTCCCAAAGTTGAGCCTTGAGGTACACTAGATTCCATATCTAAATATTCAGAAAATAACGATCCTAGTCTTACCCTTTGTTTGCGAGCAGAAAGGTAAGAAATAAGAGACTTTCGTAAGAACATACTGTTTATTTCCATACTCTAACGTCAGAAAATAACGCTAACATACTGTTTATATCTACACTCAAACGTCAGGAAATAACGCTAACATACTGTTTATTTCTACAATCCAACGTCAGGAAATAACGCTAACATATTGTTTACACTTCAATGGAAATATTTCTAACATGAAAAGTCTCTCTTTTAATGTTAGCGTTATTGATAATTAGATTTGGCAGTTTAATGGGAAATTTTTTTAATTTATAAAATAAAATAAACTTTGTTTTATCCACATTTAGTGAGAGTTTATTACTTATAACCCACTCATTAACTTTGCCTAAGTGTTTGTTTGCTCTTTCAAAAAGTATTTTAACATTTCTGAGGGAATAAAAGTGATTGGAGTCATCAGGGACTACTAAAACAACGGGACGCGAAACTCTAATTTCATGTAGTTTTGACGACAGGGCCGATGAAAAAAAAAAGCGAAACACTTCTATTATTAAACAAAAATATAATTATGAATAGAAATTTAATAAAAAAATGTTATGGCTCAATTATTTATCACTATTTTCAAACAAAAATTAAATTGTGTTGATTAAGTGTTAAAAATAAAACAACTTTTTACTAAGAAACTGTAAATTATCCGTAAATTAGCTGTAAATAATTATTTATAAAGACAATATTTTATTTATAAAGACAATGTTAATAAACTAATTAATAACTACTTATCATACTATATTATATTCATATCATAATAATAAATATATAATTATAAATAAATTTTAAACCATATAAATATAAAGCCATAAATACATTTCAAAACGTTATTAACTATATCACCAACGCCAACTAAATGATCAGACCACTAAGTATTGAGTTTCTTTCTTTTTCTGTCCTCAATGTTTAATGAAACAATATCAGATGTATTATCAAGGGTCGTAACACCTTTTAAGAAACAGTTAGTTATTATCGAGATAACTTTTGCAATACCTATACTCTCTGTTTCTAAATCAAATGGTAATGTTGAATGCAAGAATAAAAATAATTTCTTTAAAATAACAACACATTGAAAATGTTTTTCAGACATTGGAACGTTATTAAACAGTAGATAATAAACACAAATAAACTGGAGAAGAGTATCACCAGGATAACGCAATTTACCACGTGAAACATAATCTGTAAATTCAGAACTAGCTGATTGTGATGTTGTTGTATCAACTACACGCTGCGGATCGATCTTGTGCTGTACATAACCAGCCTTATAAAAAAGGGCAGTATACTCCTGATCATTAATAGATTCATTGTCTGCATTAATTAAACATTCATCTAAATAAATAATATCCTCTTCCATTAGATCCATTGTGCAACAGTCTGAATGTATGCGTGAGCAATGAATGTCAGTTTCATCCAAAGACACTATTTTGCTGAATAATTTTAACCGCTGAAGTTGCAAACTGTTCAATAATTTCCGCCACTTGGTTGTCTACAAATAAGCAAAAAATTTGCAAAAAGATATAACCAAATAAATTGAGTAGAACCGAGTATTGAATTATAGTTAAAACAGCAATAGTCAAATAAAAATATATCGTTAAACTTGTGTATGTTAAAAAATAATACATTTAAATAAATGAGAGAAATATTTGTTTTTTAGTTTTTAAATCTACAAAATTTTCTTAACTATAAGTAACACAAAAACAATTTTATCTGTAGATGCCAAATTCACCTTCAAGACAATCTGTTTGAAAAATACCGGGAAGAACATATTGGTGATCTTCTGAAAGCAGTTTTTTTATTAATTCTACCAATCCTTGTAGGGTGTTAACTAAAGCATGTTTTGTTTCTGGTGTAAAAGTATTATGACGCTTTAATCCCTTTCCCTCTGACATCTTAGAAGTTGCATCAGCAAATGCTAAAATTTCTTTAAATCTAAGGTCATCGAGTGTCTGAAAAGGACACCTATTAATATCATTAAGTAAAACATCACAACCTTTCCTCTTTACATGTAGCATGTTCCATAATGAAACAATTGGTGCTAAAAAACAGGCAGTGTTCTCAAAATTAGCTAATCTCAATGCTGCAACAGTTTTTTCATTAAATACAGCAACCATGTTTGCAACATTTTGTTTATCAATCAAACTAGGGTACACTGACTTTTGTGAAAGCTTTGTAGTTTTGGCAACACAAATTTTCTGTCTGTTATATAATTGAACAATGTGAGACCAATCACCAGAGAGAGGTTGATTATTAATTTTTAAACTAATTGTTAGTGTTTTTTCCGTAAACCAATTATTTCTTATACTTTTAAACAAGTGAACTGAATTGTGTAGCATAATAACTGGTTTTTCTTTTTCTATAACACCTTGCCATGGAAAACTTTTATTAACAACGAAACTTTGGTAAACACTTCGATTTGTGGGATGCTTATCTGATAAAAGACACAGTATTTCTCCTCCTGCATCGATTATTTGTTCAATTATGTTTATAACCAAATCGTGAAGAAAGTGTACTGACAGTTTAAACATTGGTACAATTCTACAAACAAAAGGTTTACCAAACATAGGTTTAATCATAAAGACTAATAACGTTTTTGCAATTTTAGTGGGATTGTCCTCACTATATCCAATGAGGTGTCCTCCTCTGAAACTAACACTTGATTTAATATACATCTCATCAAAGAGAAGGCAGCAACGCTTTTCAGAACTATTAAAATTTTCAAAAACAACTTTGATTGTATTATTGCACTCTTTTCCATTTCTAACTTCTCCAACTCTTCCTAATTTTGAAATGAGAGTCTTTGGACTGGGCAAACAAAGCAGATTTCTTAAATGTCGATAACAACATCTGGAGGACAAATACAGTTCAAGTGCACGACGTATACATAAAGTAGAAAAGCGCAGTCAATTTGGAAAACAAGTGGTGAGGCGTAGTTGTTAAATGAGGAAAGAAATTTCTTCAGAAGTGTCACTGTATGTATTTTCAATTTGACTAATCAAACTTAATACCTCATCTTTTATTTCAGGACTAGAGGTACAAACTCTTTTGATAATAGCTTCAAGCTGTGACCACCAAGTAAGACAATGAGAAAAACTGAGCAGGTCATAGTAGTTAACTTTTGTATGCCTACAATAAATATTAACTTGACGTGAATGACAGTTAATTTCAACAGAAAATATTGTTTCAGGTAGACATGATCGAGAAACATCAAACAATATGACTTTTGAATTTTCAATGAATGCAAAGTATTGAGAATATCTAAAATAGATTTAATAACAAGTAAACTTTAAATCAAAACAAACAAATATCATAAAACAAGGGGAAAAAATTTTTTTTACCTTTCTTTTATTTCAGACAACATTATTTTAACATCATAAAATCTAATTAAATCAATTTAATTGAAATCATCCATTTCATCAGGTATTGAATTTCGTGATGTTAAAGAAATTTTATTTATATTTATAAATCTTGGTTGTGTTGAGACTGTTTGGTGCACCATTGAAGATGTGCATCCAGGAAAAATAGATGGGGGATCAATAGGAACCTAAAAAAAAGATATTAAAATTAGTCATTGTAAAACTTATCAATAAAAACAACTTTAAGGATGCTTAGCTCAAACTTTGATCGAGGAGGCTTGTGCATTTTGCAGCCTGGTGGCCAGTGTTTTTCACATACACCCATATTTGAAGTTACTTTTTCAAACGCATTTGGAATAAATGACAACCAATATTGTAACTTTTGTGTGTCACTTGGAAACATGTAAACATGAAGCTTTTCTTCTGAAGTTGATGTTAAATAATTTGTGGTACAATTAACTATTGAATATTTTCTTAGCATGATTATAACCAACACTAGTAAGTTACTAGTGTTGGTTATAATCATGTCGAGAAAATGTTCAATAGTTAATTGAACCACAAATTATATTAATAATATAATAATTGTGTTACTAAGTAACACAATTATTATTTATTATAAATATGACATAACATTTTGTAACACTTAATAGATTCATTACTTAAATTAAATTTCTCAAATTAAAAACTATTTAATACAGTTTTTTAATCTTACTACTTTCAAAAATTAAAAAACGTTAGATTTTTTAATAAAAATAGCAACTTTTTTCAAAAAAAAAATTTTTTTTTTTGAAAAATGTTGTAAATATCTCCCATATTTCTATTGCATTAATCTATATTTTATCAGTACGATACTGATGAGAAATATATACATTATATTAGTAATATAAATTTATATCATTTTAATGTATTCTAAAATGTAAATATAATTAGATTAATGTAAGTTTTTCATAACTTCTTTGTTAAATCAAACTAGCATCGCCATTTACAATCGGCCCTGTCGTCGTTTTAGCATCGATTTGAAGTTTCGCGTCCCGTTATTTTAGTAGTCCCTGCGAGTCATCTTCAAAAATTTATTAAGTCTGTTGCTAAGTTTAATCATTTATTACTTGGAACTACAACGGTCCTAAAATGGAGCCCTGGGGAACAATAAAAGTTACGCTTAAGAATATATTTGTATTTTCTCACAATGTTTAAACTGCTTTCTATCAGTCAAATAACTTTTGAACAAAAGTAAATTATCACTTTTTAATACATAGTTTTCAAGTTTTTTTTATTAGTATATTGTGGTTTACATTATCAAAGGTTTTTGACAGATAAATGAAAACTCCTAATGTAAAGTAATCAGTAACGCATTTGCATTTAAAGAGATAAAAATGGAGTATAATATTTCTAAAATACGTTTCGGTATACCATTTTAACCAAATGCTTTTGGGTATACAATTTTAATGAAAAATGCTTTTTCCAAGATAGAAAAACAGGAGCGATTCAATGAATTAGGCTGAATGGTAAACTCCAGAGATGACCTGATTTTACTCCTCTAGAACTCGGAACTTTATCAACTAGCATATGAGCTTACACCATTTATGTCTTGTCAGCTCAGTTGGAGGTTATATCATTTATAGTTGGTTTAAGTGTAGCAGCCCAAGAAGGATTGGGCGTGTTTTGGGCGTATTTTTAAAGCTCTTAAAATATATATTAAACGCCCTAAATATCTTAGTGATAACCAGATTCTCCAAGCAATAGTATATGTTGTTTGGAATGAAATAGGCTTGTCTTGGATACAGGATATACCAAAGCAGTCCCTAAAAAATATTTGAAACTCTACGCTGTTTAATTAAAGGACCGAATAATAATTAATAAATAAAAGTACTTACCAACTGCCAGAGCTGGTAAGTAATTTTATTGAGGTACTCTTTACATACATATGCAACGTAAAAAAATTTCAAAACGCTAATCTATTGTCGCTGCCAGTTGTGAAAAAACCGGATTATTAATTGGTTTGTCGGATTTAATTTTGGTCTAAAATCGCAAACTTAGCGAGAGGTAATCGGCGATTGTCTAGTTTGGAATCGGAGATTTTTGATAAAAAATTTTATTTCTTTCCCCTCCATGGTTTTTGATATTGTTGCAAGTATATTCTAAACTCTACGTTGTTCACTAAAAAAAGTTGGTACTTTGTGAAAGCTCTCACTGCAAACTTGGCCGCTATTTCACTATGTTTTATTCTTTTCAATGGTAGGAAAAATAAGAAGTATAATGGCAGTGGGCCGATGGTCTAGCAAGCAAAGTACAAGCTCTGTTTTGTCGCTGTTTGTAACTCAAAAAATTTTGATTACATTTTAACATATATATTTGTTAAAATGCAAAACATTGGCACATTCTTTTATAAAAGAGCTAATGAAATATTACCTGAAACATTTTTATAGATATACTTTTTCATGGTGCTGTTTAATTGCAAACAAAACTCGAAAAGACTCGAGAATGATCCTCCTCAGCTGTTATAACAGTTTTTTTAACCTGCTTTGGAAATGGGTAGAGAGACTAAATGTTATGTCCGTCCCTTCAACGTTTTAGTTAAAGGAATACTGTTCTCTTGGCCCCCCGTTGCTACGCCAGTGTATACATATATATATATATATATATATATATATATATATATATATATATATATATATATATATATATATATTTAATTACACTTTTTGAAAATAAGAAAAAATAAATTTACAATCGTAACTTATAAAATTTAATTACATGACCGGGGCTAGAAAAAGACAAATTTAGTCTTATGACCAAGCCCCCCCCCCCAAAAAAAAAAAAAAAAAAAGAATAATGTATATATCTTACCAACAGAAAACAATATGTACATAATGTCTAATCTGGAGTATTAAATGTTTTATGTAGAGTTCCGCAGGGATCAATTCTTGGTCCACTCCTTTTTCTTATATATATAAATGACTTCTGTAATGCATCCTTAAAACTGAATTCAGTCATGTTTGCAGATGAAACGAATCTATTTCTTACCAACAGTGATATCAAAACATTATATGCTGACATGAATATAGAACTAGTCAAAGTAAACAACTGGTTTAAAGCTAACAAACTCTTGCTTAATGCTGAGAAAACAAATTATATACTATTCTATAAAAAAATACAAGAAAAGAGGAAAATCTTCTTCTCCAGTTGCCTAAACTATTCCTAAATGATAAACTAATTAAAAAACAATCCAATATAAGATTCTTAGGAATTATTGTTGATGAAAATTTATCCTGGGTTCCTCATATAATATACATCCAGTCAAAAATCACCAAAATCATAGGTTTGATGTATCGAGTTCGCTCTTACGTCAATACACAAAGTCTGAAATTAATCTACTTTGGGCATATACATAGTTTCATCAGCTATGCAAACATTTTATGGGCAAGTACTCAAACATTAAAGCTTACAAAACTGTAAAGTTTGCAAAAACATGCTTGCAGAATCCTTTACCATAAGGATAGGCGTGAACACTCTAAACCCCTAATGAGTGATATGAAAATGAGGAGTGTGTTTGAAATAAATGTATATCAGCATTTAATTTTCATGTATCGTTACAATTACAATATCTCTCCTATAAGCTTTAATAACAAGTTTGAATTAAATAAAAATAAAAACTATAATCTTAGAGCAAATATGTAAAACACATATAAACTATCTCAGATAATAAATAAATATTCAGAATATAGCATTTCATATCAAGGTCCTAAAGTATGGAATACCTTTCAAATAGGATTCAAAGGTACGGTAAATTCGTTAAGTTCATTCAAGTTTATAACAAAAAAAGAAATTTTAAAATTTAAGAAACTTTTTTGGTTAATGTTACCACTCTACTTTTTGTTGTTCTTGTTGTTGTTGTTTAACAATCTTATTAGCGAATTACGCATTTTATTACGATATTTATTACAAATTTTAATTGAAATTTTATTACGAATATGTTTTAAGAAATGTTCTATGAATTTATTACGTATTACGTAATACGATATTTTATTGAAATTTTGTTAAAGGGACTCTATTGAAAGATTGCGTTCATCCTCATCTTCTTCGAGTCCCTATCTGTTGTTTTTTTTATGAAGCACGTTGTAAAATTCTTATCTTATAAAACAGAAAAAAAAAAAAAAAAATCATATTATACAAAATATTATATATATATATATATATTTATATATATATATATATATATATATATATATATATATATATATATATATAAAATACATATATTATATATATATATATATATATATATATATATATATATATATATATATATATTATATATATATAAAATACATATATTATATATATATATATATATATATATATATATATATATATATAAAATACATATATTATACATATATTATATATATATATATATATATATATATATATATATATATATATATATATATATATATATATATATATGTATATATATATATATATATATATATATATATATATATATATATATATATATATATAATATATATATATATATATA